TTAAATTTGAAGCCAAAGATAACTTATTTTTCTGAGATTAGAAAAATTTTTAGATCATTGTTTAGGGTAGAAATTAAGTGCTAGAAATAAATTCCTGATGAGAGTGAAGAAGTCCAAAGTTACTATTATTACTTTCAACTCATTTTTGATAGAAAATGTATGTTTTGAGGTTTCTGCAGAGTTCACAAGTTAGAGTGAGAAGTTCTGCATGATTATTTTTTTCTCTTCTAGAAATACCATTGTTCTCTGATCTTTTCATTCAGATTTAATTAGCCTGGGATTTCCCCAGGTGATTCTGATATGCCGGTATTGAGTTGAGAACCATTTGCTAAATCATTGGTTCTCAAAGAGTTATATTCCAGTTAAGGTCATTTTCAGATGGTGCTGGATCTTTTTAAATTTCATCTATTTATTAAAGTATCTATCATCATCAGCTACAAGAATGCAGCTGGCAAAGGTTATGAAGTTAGGTTATAAATGATTGAATTTTAGAAAACATTTGGCTGGATTATAAAGTGAGAGGAAATACAGAGGAGAAAGGAATTTGGAAGCCAAAATTGAAATATTTTTTCCAGATAAGATTAACGATGAGATGGAAAACAAATGGTTTAAAGATAAAAGTTGCATTTTCAATTATTCTTTGTCAATTGTGCTTGGATCAAGATATTTAAAAATGAAAGATATGTGAGGTAGGATTGACCATCTTTTGTGTAAACAAGGAAACCTCAACTCTTGCCTGGGTAGATGGTCTACCTCTTCTCTGTAGAAATTGAGTGGATTGGGTTTGCCATGTAAGGCCATTTCAGGCTCTGTTAATCCCCTGAGCATTGAGACCATCCATCATGTGACAGTACAGAGGAGAAAGATTATAAACCCCAAAAGTAAATCTTGCTCTGAATCAATGTGGGTGACTGGTCATTTTCATTGCTTCTGTAGAGGTCACCCAATCGGTATGGTGAGTAGTTCTGTGAATATTGATGGTACAGATCAATAATGACAGGGATATGTGTGTTTAAGATCTCAGAACGTAATTAATTGTCTGTTACTGTTTGAACAGAAAAATCAGAATGACATAACAGTTCAATCTTCTCTGGCAAGTTTAATTAGACAGTATTGAATGTGGAGGAAGAATTGAGGGGGTCTCTGAAGATGAATCTGTTTCATACATAAGAATATCTTGGGGAGTTTGTAAGACCAGTCAAAAAAGATGCATAGAAGAGTGACACTATCATGGTCATATTTCTGAAAATGGTTAGTCTTTATTTGAGGTCATAACATCCAGCATAATGATCAGGGTGAATCTTGACAACTTCAAACTAATGAACTGTCCTGAGAGTGGGGTAAGTTTCTCACAGCAGCAGATAAGAGAGAGCCTACATAATGTTTTCTCTTTCTGCTTTTCATGCATGAATTTCTGACTTTCAGTCTTGCACTTTGTTCTCTTTATTCCTTTATCAGGCTGCTACATGAAACCAGTTTGTAAATGAAATGTTTTAAAGAACAGTCTTTACGGATAACAGCCTCTGGACATTAATCCATAATTTAATATAACGATAAAGAGGGGAACACTGCCAAAACTTCTCGCAGAGGTAACCCAAGGACTCTACTCACTGAATCCAAGATCTCATCAAAATGATTATTAATCACTTTGGATGGGAATTTTTTTTTCTGTAGAGAGTTAGGAGGATGCATCATCTGAAAATAAAGCTGTGAGTTTCTCAAGCATGATGGCACCAAGAATGACATGGAGATCTTTCTTTAACATCATTCTTTATTAATGTAATTAAATATTTATAATATTTCCTTTTTATGAGAATAAAATTTTAAAATCCTTGAAAAGTGAGGATATAAAAGGACTTAATCCTTAGCACCTGACTGCATTGAACATTAAAGCATTATTTTTATTTTCTCATTGCTGAACTTAGCTTTTACTTATAGTCAGATCCTCTAGCTAAAGAAATTGCTTTCTTAGCTGTGATGTACTTTTCTTTTTGTTTCAGAGCTCCCATGTGGCTGGTGAGTGCAGGGAGTGCTGACGCTTCCTGTGATTTCCATTTTCTTCTGAGAGAGTAAGGCAATTTTCAAATCTTGTCACGTCTGTCCATAGATACACAATGCAAAGCTACATTTCTGAGTATTATAAATGATCAATATGGAGGCTTCAAGATGAGGTCATTAAATTAACGTAGATTCAGATTTGCTTGTCAATAATATATATGTTGTCTTAGACCAAATTAATGAAAGATTCATTGGTTCTTCACTTCAACTAATTTTGCAAATTCGAATTCCCTTTAAATGATTGTATTCTTTGTGTAGTTTATAGTTAAGCTCTCCTAGTTATTTCACTGTACTCCAGGTTGTGAGCTTGTATTTCTCATTCATGTCAGAATATCTAATTGTTTGTGCTCTACCACATTTATCTTTCTTATAGTGTATGTGTTATATTTATACTTTTCCATGTTTCAAAATTATTTTGACATATTTAAATAGATTGGATAAAAAGGATACTAGATACTATTATCATTTTTGACTGCTGTATATATATTTTGCCTGTTATATATTTTTTCATTTGAAAAATGTAAATATTCCCTTCAGATTTTAAAAAAACATTTAATTCTTGAAAAAGTTTTAGCTTCTATAATTGCTGGTTATGTTTAAGGGTGAGGTGCTAGTCTGAGTCAAAATACAAAAGTCTACCACTGATCACAAGAAACTTGCATTAGTAAGGCACACCTTAATGTTCTAGGAAATCTGTAACTGGAAGCTCATAACCCTAAATCTGTTGGGGATGTGAATGTGTCTCCAGTGGTTATAGCCTCTCATGATCATGACAGCTGAGGTCAGCTATGTGTGATAGAAAATCATTTGTCCAAGTGTCAATACAGGTGGTGAGACTTTAAGGCCTTGCTTAGATCAGCAGACTTTCTGTAGATACTTGATTTAAATTTATTTGATTTTTAAAGCAAATAGACCTGCCATTAGAGAAAAACTGTAAGAGGCTTTTTTAACAGCTGAAAATTAAATATAAACCACAACTTTTAAATAGCTAAAGATGATAGTCTAACTGTTTATTAAAGCAAAATAAAAAATTTGAGAATCAAAGCATCATTGAATTAATCCTAGGTTTTGCATTTTAAATTAATTTGATGTAGCTCTTTGTAATCAGACCTATCTAACGACAACAATGCCTGAATTATGTATTAGTTCCTTCTCCCAGTTGTCCATAGCTGAGAAAGCTCAATTGATACCCTTTCTTCATTAAGTCAAAGAAAATTTGTTCAGTTCCTAATATGGACAGGCTCCCAAAGTACTCTTTATTGTTGGAGCTGCTGCAGACAGCAACTGCCCCTCTCCTCTAAGATGGGGGTAAGATGGGGTAGTAGTGGAGCCTCCTGACTTTAGCAGCAGACTTAGCTGTGCCCTGACAATTCCCTGTGATTGCAGCTCCACTTTGCACCATCAATTATTAACTGGACATTCTTTCCTTACCCTCCTAGTTCTTTCTCTCCCTCTACCTTATTGATTAGAGTGAATTGTTTTTTTATTTTGGCTGCACTGAAGGCCATTTTGCTTGCATTTGTTTTGGCAGATGGCTATACCCAAAACCAGTGAGGCCAGTTCTGACCCCATGACAGTTTTTAGACCCTTTGCCTAGTAACATTTATATATACTTAATACTACAAAGTCACTTCTAGTCTAATAGGAAAATAATACTAAAGTAGTATGTGGTGTTTTTTAACTTGTCCTATTTTAATTCATCTCTCCTTAGCCTCTCAGTAGCCTTGAAAAACAACAGTCTCTAAAACATGGGAATCATGAAAACCAACACTTTAGGAAGTAGAAAAAGTTTGTAACTCTCCCAAAAGTCCCATCTTCATGGAATTGTTATTAGATGACCTGCATGGTAACTTCCTGGGAAAGCTCCATCCTCAAAGTTGATCTATTTGATCTGACTCAACTTTTTCTTTGTAAGACCATCTCTATCCCCAGGGCAATTGTCTAAAATAATTAACCGCAATTGTCATGGCTACCTTAGGCAGTAATATTAATAAGGGCAAATAAAAATTTGGCAAAAATATTTCAAAGAAAAATCTAGGAAATGAGACATTCATAGCAGAGTTTGAAAAGCTCTGATATATTTCTGGGGAATCTAGAAGGTCGAAAGCATGTGCAATAGAAATTACATGCCAGGAAAAGCCTATAAAGGGGCCCTAATTTATGCCTCTGACTGAACTTGAGGCTCTGAATGAGCTGGAAGTCAAGGCTAAGACAGAATTATAAATTATCAGGTTAGGGAAGATAGACCCTAAACCCAAAAAAGTCTCCAGGAAAGATCAGGAAACATACTTCAGAGGAGTCAAAGAAATTTATCTCATTATTCACTGGCAACTAAAATAACTAAGCAAAGACTAAAGTGGCCACACAATGGAAAGAATACAAACCTTACAGATTAATACAGAAATGTTAGTAAACAAACAAACAAAACAATAATAGTAACAACACAGCTGTAACAACAAACCTGGAAAGAAAGTAATAAGATTTCAGAAGTTGCCACATTGTATTTTTGAAGCTGTTGAGTTATAAATAAAAAATTAGGAGATATTCAAAGAAACAAAATATGGCCCATACATAGGGAAAAAGCTGTCAATGGAAACAGTCTCTGAATATGTCTAGATATGGGACTTGCTGTAAGAGAACTTTATGTTATTTATTATAATTTTATACAAATGGACTATATCAATAAAGGGACAGAGATTATAAAAAAGAAAAAAAAATTTGGAGTTGAAAACTGCAATAACTGAAGGAAAAATTCACTGAAGAGGCTCAACAAAAGAGATAAAATAATAAAAAATAAAACAGTGAAATAGAAGATAGGTTAAATGAGATTATTCACTCTGAGGAATAGGGAAAAAATGAAGAAAAATTAACAGAACTACAGAGGTCTGTGAGACACCATAAATGTTAAAAAAAATTTTAAATATATTTTTTACATCATTGTTCATTTTAAAACAATGTTTGCTTCCCCCCCTCAGGTACAGTCACCACAAAATTTCCTTCACCAATGTACCCATGCACCACCACCACAGTCCCCTGGAGACACCGTAAATCTTTCCAATGCATGTAATGAGAGTCCCAGAAGAAAATGAGAAAAAGGGACAAAGAAAATATTCAAAGAAATAATGGCTGTGAAACTTGCCAAATTTGATGAAAAACATTCATCTACATATCCATGAAGCTCAAGAATGTCCAGTGGGATAATAGGATCCAATAGAATTCAACAGCTGTACACATCATAATCAAACTACTTGAAAGACAAAGATAAAGATAAGCTTGACAGAATTAGAGAGCAGTGTCTCTCACATACAAGGGATCTTTAATAGAAGAATTATAGCTGGTTTCCATCAGAAATCTTGACGACCAAAACACAGTAAGATGACATATACAAACTCTGAAAAGAAAAAGAACATGAAATAAGAATTCTATATCCATTTGTCAACAAAATAAAAAAGACAATATGGCAGTCTCAGAGAAACACAAGCTAAAAGAAGTAATTATTAGCAGGTCTGCCTTACAAGAAATGCTAAAACAGTACAGTAGTCAAAAACTTGAATCCCTATGATGACATAAAGAACACTGGTGAAGGTAATAGTATAACTAATGTACAACTGCATAAAGCATATTTATAGAAGAACTGTGTTGGTTGGCTTATAAAATTTCACACTGTAATTTGCATGAAAATAATGAAGGAGGAGGGGATGGAAGTATATAGGAACAGAGTTTTTCATACTATTGAGATTATATTGGGATGAATCCAAACTACATTATCTTAAAGGAGTTGCAGTTGCCAGGGTGACCACTAAGAAAATAATGCAAAGAAATATAAAGAAACAAGATGTAGTGAAAAAATGTATGGTAGAAAATATGGTTCAGCAGAAAATATTTAACAGGAAATAAGGTAGTAAAGGAGGATTAGAAGTTCAAGTAAGATAAAATGTATAGGGCATAATTTAAAAAATAGGAGATAAAATTCTATTTTATCAATTATTATATTAACAGCAATTAAACATTTTAATTAGAGGTAAAGTTGGCAGAATGTGTAAAAAAGCATGATCCAAGTATATTATCTAAACAAGACATATTATCAGAGTCATGAAAAATATGGTCAATCTTGCTTTTGAATTGAGATGCAAATATATTGAAATGCCAGCAACTCAAAAGTGTACAAAAATGTAATGCCCTGTACCAAGCATAACTGCAGGTAGTTCTATTTTAGGTAAATAATTAGTTCAAAGTGATAGAGATTATAGAACAAAAATCCATGTATTATATTAATATAAAAAAGTAAATATTAAAATTCAGTTCCAATTCATGGCTAATTTTTTTTATCCAGCTAGAAACAGAAGGGAATGTTATTAAAAGGAGAAAGCATTTCTACCAAAAGCCCTGAAAAATAACTTATTCAGGCAACAAATTTTATTTTATGCCTGCATGTGTCAAATACTATACAGCAGTGAGAAGAGAATAAATACCCTGTCTTTATGGAGCTTACAAACTACCAGTTAAACACTTCTTTCATATTGGTGAGTATTTAGAAGTATTTTCATTAAATTCAGAAACAAGAAAGGATAATCACATCTTTTTTTTTTTTAATTAATTAATTTATTTATACAAGCACTGGGTATAGTCAGAAGCACGGGAGGGTGAGAGAATTCACCAGAGCCAGAGCGGGCAGCAGAGCAGGCAGAAGGACCGAAGTACACTGCTGAGGGGAGCAGCGGGCGGCAGGAGAGGTCTGCGCGCCATGTGGGACCCTCCTCCGGTGGCCGGGGAGCAGCCGGGGATCGAACCGGTGCTGCAGGGGCAGCTTCGCAGCCCAGCGCTCAACCGCTGCGCCACCGGGGAAGCCCCACATTTTCTTTTTAACCAATTAGAAAACCTAGTAGAAGAAAGACCCTGCTGAAAATAGTGTCAAAATTAAGAAATTCATTGGATTGGAACCAAAAAACACTTAGAATTTTTGTGGAGACACTGTTCATATTGTAATATTCATATTACAAAGAACACTTAGTAAATATGAATATGATGTGTAATATCATAATATCAATATCATAAAGATGCCAGTTTTTCAAAATGAGAAGTCAATTCTAAAATTAATAAAGAAGACTAAAGGTAGAGGAAAAGCAAGCCATATTTGAAGATGAGTTGGATTACCGGAGGTCAAGATTAATTAAAGTTATAGAAGTTAAAAATTTATATTTCGGGCCTCCCCGGTGGCGCAGCGGTTGAGCACTGGGATGCGAAGCTGCCAGCGGCCTCTGCGGCACCGGTTCAATCCCCGGCTTCTCCCCGGCCACCGGAGGAGGGTCCCACATGCAGCGCAGACCTCTCCTGCCGCCCGCTGCTCCCCTCAGCAGTGTCCTTCGGTCCTTCTGCCTGCTGTACTCCCCGTTCTGGCCCTGGTGAATTCCCTCACCCTCCCGCGCTTCTGACTGCACACAGTGCTTGTATAAATAAAAAAAATAAATAATAAATCTTAAAAAAATATATATTTCATCATAAGAATAAACTTAATAGTGTAGAGAATTATATATGTGATTGTATATGAATGATATAAATGACATAGATGATACATAAATGATATAGCTATAAGTGATATAAAAATATAAATTTGTAGTGTAATTATAATATTTAACCATGTAATTTTAGTATAAAAAACATAAATCTATGCAGATATAAATGATTTAGAATTCAAATATATATGTAAATGTATAGGGATTAGATATAAATGACATAGGTAATATATAAATGGAATATAATGACTGTAATATTATATACATTTGTAATATATAATCTAGCTATATAATTTAAGTATATGTAGATATATAGATAGCTTGTAAATGATAGAGATGGTGTTACAAGGGTGTAAGAAAATGAGTATTCAAAAAGTGGTGTTTGGTCAGTGGCTTTCCTTGGAAAAAATAAAATTAGGTACCAGCTTCACCCAAAACACAAATATGAACTGCAGAGACATTAAAGACTTAAATATGAAAAGATAAAACATGGCTAGAAGAAAATATTGAAGAGTATTTGTTGCCAATTACAGGAGAGATATTCTTAAATATGACACAAAAACACAAATCACTCTGTAGGTGATTTAGGGGGCGAATCCTATACCATCAAAACAGTAGTAAAGACAAAATAATGGTACTTCACCAATAATAAAAAAAAGTTAAAAAAAAAACACAAGTCAAAGCAAATGATGAGTGGGTGAGCTCAATAAGAATAGGAAGGGTAGTTTAGTAAATGAAGACCCAGTAGGCTTAATAACAAGAATTGTGATAGCAGATTAGCAAATGAGAACCAGTGAGCTAAAATAATAAAAAAATAAAAACCCAGAAGTCATATTAGGAAAAATGGACTAATTTGATGAAATGACCATTTATAAAATTATACATTAAAAGATATGATAAAAGAGAAGTTGCAGACCTAGGAGCAGATAGTTATGGTATATAGCCAACAAATGACTATTACCTAGAATATACAAAGAACTGCAAATCAATTTTTAGTAGAAATAATTATTTTTACTCTTTATTTTTTTTTATTTTATTCTTATCCAGGATATCTCTAAGCATCTAAACTAAGAAAAAGTATTTCTTTGTTTCTTGAATTCAATTCTTTAAAGATCAGTAAAAGTTAGTATTCAGTTTTTAGAAACACTGTTGTCATTTTAAACTCAGAGTATGGAAACTGGAAATCTTTTTATTATATGCATTTGTCTGAAAATGCAAATTTTAGTTAAGGTAGACCTAGATGCTTCCTGTAAGAAGAATTATGTGATGTATAAACATATCTTACATGTGTTGTGATTAACTTAATTGTCTGCATCTTGGTACATTTATCCTCCAGCTATTAGGTTTAATTACACTGGTAATTAAACAGAACAAAATATCATATCATTAGTTGGTTTTATAAGGTCTTGAAAGCTTTTTCTAAGAACTCTAGTATTGATTACAAGCTATTACCACTATGATTGGTGCTCTTAGGATCATTTCTGGTCACTGAGTTGTCAGGTATACATTCGCTAATCACTTGGAATTTGAACTCAGAATGCACTGATGTGCATTTTGAATTGGTCTTACTCTCAAATTTGTTCTGATTCAAATGAGAATTGTAGACCCTAAAAAAAAACCAAAAAAACAAAAACCAGCAAACTCCTTTTGCCTTTGTTGTCTGTGGTTATGAAATTAACAGAAAAAGGCAACACTGAGCTGTGTCTTCCAATGATTCTTGAGACTTGCTGTTTTAGCTCATCTTATAAATTTTTTTGTGGTGTGACCATCGGTGTGAGGATAAAAACATGCTTATTGAAAAACACTCTGGAACTAATTGTGACCACAATCCAGAATGTGTACAATTGTGAAGAAGGTGCGCATTTTTTCAGCAAAGTGCCATCCCATTTATATGTCTTTACTTCTCCCACTGACACTTGCTTCTTATTCCATCTTGATATTCATACTTTTTATCAATCCCTGATTTTTTTCTCCAGAGAATTAGAACCAATATGTAGAACTCCCAGGAACTACTTCTATGTGATGCCCATAAATTTCACAACACCTTTGTTTGTAAGCTCTATTATTACAGTTTTGCAGATAAGCAAACTGAGACTTATAAAATATTTTAAGAGAAACTAAGTAAAAGTGTCATGTTTGGTATTTAAATATAGTTATTTCTGATTCTGAAATTATTAACCATTGTTTTTCTTTACAGTGTTGCCTCTCAAATGTTTGTCTATGTTTTTATTGAAATTAAATGGACCTCTTGTATCTATCCCATAAAAAATGGGGTTATTTTTAATAAGGAGCTTGGATACTGCATCCATATGAAAATCCTGATGGAACTGTGACAGAACCCTCCTTAATTTAGAAGTTAAGAAAGGTAGGTGTTATTTTATATTTTATTTTGTTATTTTTTAAAAAGACTTATTTATTTTTATACAAGAACTGGGGTACAGGCCAGATGCGCGGGAGGGTGAGAGGATTCACCAGAGATGGAGTGGGGAACAGAACAGGCAGACTGACTGAAATACACTGCTGAGGGGAGCAGCGGGCAAGATAGGAGAGGTCTGCTTCACCATGTGGAATTCTCGCCAGCCGGCCGGGATCAAACCCAAGCTGCAGAGGCTGTGGGCGCTCAACCTCCTGCGCCACCAGGGAGGCCTGGTGTTATTTTTTAAAAGGACTGAAGGGCAACTGAAAGCAAAGTGAAAGAGAATACTTTTTAGGATTCACAAAATGATGAATGTTCAGCTACATTTTGTAGCTGAATTGATCTATATATAGTAGATCAACTCTTTGTTATTCACCAGCCTTTGCATCAGATTTATTTAAATACACCAGATCTCAGCTTTGCTACAAAATATATAAATGAGTTGTCATGCTTATGTTTGAATATTAAGGAGCACCCTAAATATCACCTTCCTAATCCATTTTCCTGTGGGGAGACTTTGCCGTGAATTTACTCCTAAAATTTAACACTAGCTTGTGCCTCTAGCTGCTAAAAGACAAATATTTTCTTTAAATTGTTTTATTTTGAAATAATTTTAGATTTATAGAAGAGGCTACTATAGAAAGTTTTCATCTACCTTTCATTCCACTGTCCTCTAATGTTATTATAGGTGGAAGCAAAAACATTTTTTTTAAGATTTATTTATTTATGATTACAAGAACTGGGATACAGGCCAGAGGTTTGGGAGGTGAGAGGAATCACCAGAGACAGAGTGGGGAACAGAACAAGCAGATAGACCAAAGTACATGGCTGAGGAGAGCAGCGGGCAAGTCAGGAGAGGTCTGCTGCGCCATGTGGGTAGCTCCCTGGCTGGGGTTTGAACTTGTGCTGCAGAGGCTGCAGACAGCTTCATAAGTGCTGTACTCCTTGCACCACCAGGGAGGCCCCATGGAAGAGAAATTTTATTAATGAACCTTTCTAAATCCCACAGACAAAAAGGAATTGCTACACCTCTCCAGGAGGAAACAACATTGAATGATATGAATCTCGCTTCCTAGTTACTCCATTATTTACTTCTCTGAAAGGTAAGATTAAGGAGAATTTTATTGCTGTACAAGACAACAGTCTCTTGTTCCTTCCTCAACATGTCTCCAAGTAGCGCCTGCTCTCCTCTCTCCTAACTGTACCATAAACCAAACTGTCTAGAAGAGCTTCCGTCTCAGCAAGGGGAAGCCAATAGTCCTCCAGGACCTCTTCCTGCATGCAGATGGATGAGTCAGTTCATGTTATCTGGTAAAGAGCAGAAAAACCCACTCTGATCATTTTTAGGATGAAAAAGTTATTATATTGAGATTCCCAAATCTGCTTATTACCTGTATGTATTTTTCATTCTATTTAGGCTGCAGAGGTGATGGGGTTGCCATCAGCACCTTAAAGAACCTCCAGCAGAATAGAAGTTGGGTTTTGGCATGGTGTTATGAAAAGGGAACTAAATTGCTAAAAATCATCTTCTTTTAAAGATATCATGAAAAACACTTTCTATAAAATAAATCACTTTACCATCATGTTGCTTAGGCAATAGTTTAGTAGTCATAGATGTTGATGTGTGTGTATGTATATACATATATATTCTGACAACTCTTTTATGTGTTCATTTGGGTATGTACACATACATAAACTTATAAAAACACATGTACAATGTTTATGCATGAATATATGGCACACAGGTTAGAATATGTATTTGAATATATACTCATTAACACATGCATCATATACATGACCATATATCTACATACGTATTCCAGCCTGTATGCCATGTATTAGTCTGAATAGGGAAGGTTGCAATGTACTGGCAATCTCAAAATCTTTGTAGCTTAACCCAGTGAAAACTTACTTCCTGTTCAAGTTACATGTACATTGCTGGTTGATATGGGACTCAACTCCATAGTCACTCAGATACCGAGGCCGGTGGGGCCTCTGTCTATTAGGTGGTACTGTACCATGGAGAACATGAGGTCTCAGCATTCACAAGGAACAACACCCTGGACAACTAAAAATGAGACTTCCACAAGCTCAGCTACCCATAATTTTCAATTGCAATTTGCTAGCCAGGATAAGGGATTTACTAAACTTCAAAGAAGAAAATGATGACATTTTCTAGGTGTACAGTAGGAAAGGGAAGAAGTTATTGGTCAACAATTGTGTGTAATGTTGACAACATGGCAAACTCTACTTATTGGGAGAAAAAAATTCAAAGAAGTATTCCTCTGTGTGTACATCAAAGTAAATAACACTAATGTCTGTAACGAACAACTTCAAATTCCAGGGACCACATATGAAAGTTTACTGTTTGCTCCATGGACAGCATAATGCAACTGTAGAGGGTCCCTGCCCCAGGCAGTCAGACGGGGACAGTAAGGTCTGACATTTTGTGACACACAATAAACATCAAAAAATGGCAACAGTAAAGAGGAGAAAATATTTTCCTTTTAGATTCAGAATGTATGAGAGAGAACATGGTCCATCCAACGGGGCTGTTCCACAGGTTTGGCCCTTAAGTCAGTTGAGCAGCACTGACAGGAACCACAAAGTCACCGATGCTTTCAGTGCTTCAAAGCACTACAAATGGCTTTTTTTTTTTTAAAAAAAAAAAGAGATTTATTTATTTATGCATACAAGAGCTGGGGTGTAGGTCAGAGGTGCAGGGGGTAAAAAAATTCACCAGAGACAGAGTGGGGAGCAGAACAGGCAGATTTACTGAAATACACTGCTGAGGGGAGCAGCGGGTGAGGCAGGAGAGGTCTGCTGTGCCATGTGTGTTGCTCCCTGGTGGGGGATCAAACTCATGCTTCAGTGGCTGGATAGCTTCATAGTGCTGAGACTTAATCCCTTGTACCACTAGGAAGGCCCTACAAATGGCTTTTGAGTAAGAAATCATCTGCTATATATACAGCTTTTTGGAAGAAAAACTTAGTCATCCTGGCTTGTCTAAATAAGGCAAGGTCTGTCATAAAAAGGGCAGTTTGAAGAGTTTTATAAAAGAAAAAAATGAAGTGTGTTTCCTCAGCTTTCCTTCTTCCTTATCCTCTTAACACACCTTGCTTATTTTAAAACCTTTCAGTCAGTTCAGTACATAAAATTTACTTCTGATTATGGTTGTGGACATTTGGTATTTCCTGTGTCCTTGATTTCTGTGGTCTAATTACTCTGTATCAGCAGCTTGAGGTTTGGGGTTATTTGTCTTTCCTTTTCTTAAATAAACAAATGAAAGTTAGTTTATCGTATCACTGTTCAGATTTTTCTATAACTTGTTTCAAAATGAGCCAAGGTTCTTAAAACTTCACCCAAAATTCATTTGACATTATGTGGGTCATTTAAATATGCTGCAGACCTCAAAATAATAAGTACAGATCTCTTTCAGAGCGAATTATCCTTGTAGTTAAAGACTGCTTGGAGAGAGTCCTGAACTCATGGGAGGAATCATTGATTTTATTTTGGATCTGCAATTAAGGAGCTCTGTGACCTTGGGCAACAGTAAGATGACTCTCAATTATAAGGCTCTGTGAGTTGTTGACTTGATTGGCTGTATCAACCTCTACTGTGGCTTTATGGCTTTTGGATTTTCACCATGTAATCAGAGCCATGCATGCAAAGTAGTTGACCGGTAATCTGGATCCATATTTTTCATTGCCTTTCCAGTTAGTTGAATTTAATTGCTGCGCAAAGGTTCATGACTAAAATCATCTGATGACAGGTCCTTGCTTGGCTCCCTTCTCAGCACTGTATGTTCACCTTCCTGTGGTTAATTGCAAGTTAGAAATCAGGGTACTGGAACAGGAACAGACCCTGGGGTTGCATTTAATAGCCTGTTTATACAAATGACCAATGTGTAGGCAGAAGAAAAGATGTCTGGAAACAATGATCATCTAATTGGAAAAAAAAAGACATTATATCTAATATAATGCCAAATAAAGGCATTGATGAAATAGTATAAAAGTTTATCGAAAATTCCTTGGCCCCAAATGAAACACCTGAGCTGTTCAATTATTTGATGTCACATGGTCTGATGGCCTAATGTGCTAGATGGACCTAGCAAGACAGATGAAACTTCAGATGGTATATTCTGTTTTTCTGGTATATTCTCTGCTATCATTTAGTTTTGGATTAAGCATACATTATCTGACTTCTCTGAACCAATTTACATCTTTTTTAGAGTTACCGGGGTTAAATTATTTGTCTTCAAAATTACTTTTAGCACTAACCATTCAGTATGTTTCTCAGTATGTGTTACTCATGTCATCAAAATCCTTGGTGCACACAGCTTATGATCTTTTCAAATTGGTGTTACACCTCTACATAGAACTGCCCATCTTTGCTCATCTATGATTTAACACCATTCTACCGCTTACGGTCTTAGATTTTGATTTCTTCTCAACTTCTGCATGATTTTATGCAAAATTTTCACCTATATAATCTTCTATGGTACATTCAAGGTCAGCTTGCTCAGTCCTTGTTTGTGTTCCCAGTCACACTCTTATGTAAAAATGTTAGAATGAATCATGAATAATTTGATAGGTTTTTTTGCTACCTGGGTGCCCTGCCTCAAAGTGAGTCATTTGTATTTTGAGCACTTCATATTGTTGCACAATTAAAACATATTTTGAAGGGTATAACTTATTTACCAGGATGCTTGAGTTAATCCTCTTCCCTCACATCATTACATAAAATGATTATGTTTCTTGTACCCTGTGTATTCAAATAAGGTAATGCCTGTGTTAATGATGAGGTAGAAATAACAGGTCCAGCACTTATCTATGACATCTTTCTTCTGTGCAGTCTGTCAAATCCTTATCAGGATTTCATTATCCAGAGACTAGACAAAGGCAGACTTAATGGATAAATACACTGTTATAGGGCAAGAACTGAAACTAGCATTACATAAAGCTTTCACATAATGCCTGGTTGTTCAGGCATATACAACATCTTGAGTAAGATGACTGAGTTCAGCAGTTGCATAAAATCAGACAGATATGTCCTAAAGTATACATAATAGAGAGATTTAAGGGGGAAGATCATTTATTTTAACTACTAGAGGTAGAGGAGAGAGGTCAGGTAAAAATAGAACATATCTGAATTCTTGCTTACTTACCAAAAAATTAATATGATTTCTATAAACTTAGTTTCTTTGTGTTTACAACATGCATTCCTCTTTAATTCATGTCTCATTGGTTTGCATTCCTTCAAATAACTCCACTATGAAGTTATTTTAGATTTGACTCCATAGAAATTATCTGAGCAGTGTAGCTCTACCCACTGGTGAGTTACAACTGAGTTGTATTGTATTGTTATTTTATTACAACATGATGACTATTATTTTAGCATTAATTTCAATGTCAACATTCAAACTTAAAATGGTCCAGTGAACATAGATATTTATCATGATATGTATCAGAATGCTGGGGCAGTAGTTAGTATTGTCTACATAGTCTTGATCTTCCGGATATATAACATCACCAGTTATAGAAAAAAATCCTATGTCAGTATATTTGATTGTCAGGCTCAGAAAAAAAAAATAATGTACTCCTCCCAATACAAGGTAATTCCCAGTCTTCTTGGGAAGTTGTCTTGTACCTGAGCCAATTTTTTCATCTGTTCCATTATGCATTTTGTAGTTCCTACACTTCTGACTCTGGGGAATGTGGAAATGAAGGCTAAACACTATTTAATTCACAGCTGTGTCCTAAGCACCCATTTCTTGGTAGTTAAGTAACTTGGAAGTTAGGTAACAACAACTATCTTTGAATGAATGAACACAGGTATTTCAGACTAACTCAGACAGCAGAACATACTTAGGGGTGCGCTATGATCTCAGTTTATCTTTTATAGAGTACACATTCTACTATGAAAGACAGAGTAAATAATAAACAAAAAAGTAAATATAATGAGTGATAAATGTGTTTTAAAAAGAGTATGGTAATGAGAATCAGTAGTGTAATAATGAGAGAGCAGTGAGGAAGGACATGTACAGTTTGCAATTTTAAATGAGGTTGTCAGGATAAGCCACAACTAGAAAGAGACATTCAAACACAGAGTTGAAGGGGGTAAAATGTACATAATTGGAAGAACATTCAGAAAGAGGGAATAGCAAGATCCATTACCCTAAGACCAAAGAATACCTGCTTTGCTGGCGCTACAACAAGGATAGTTGGTATAGATGGAGTGAATTTATCCCTAACAAGAACATGTGAATGTCTTCTAATGCCCAATTCAATTTCCATGGCTATAAGGATTAGGTGTAATTAGTGTACAATATGATGAAAAAGAAACCAATAAATATTGGGTACCTAGTATTTTCCCATGCCTTTATATATTTTCTTATTTCATCTTTATGTCAATCTTTTATTATAATTACTATTTTAAAAATTAGGGTAACAACACATAGATAAATTATAAGACCAATACTACAAAGCCATTAAGTGTGGAACTGAGATTTGATCCCTTCGAGTCTTGAACTCTTTTGGCTATGCCATCCAATGTCACTGGTATTCACTTCTTTGAGGTCCAATTTTTAAACATAGCAGATAAATAGTACTAAGTATGTACTAGTAGTGTTATATTGGTAATAGAGGGGTGTGACTCTCTTATTTTTTTATTGTTGTAATTAAAGCACCCTACCATTATTTTTCTAATGCATATTCCTATAAAAAATTTTTCTTTATGAAATACATACTTAGGCTCTTCATTCTCCTTGGTCTAGTGTCAAATATTGAAATAATACTTCTATTTAAGAACTTTAGTAAAAAGAGCACAAAATTGGTGACTTTGCTCATGAAACCAAACAGATGCCTATGTTTAAAAGCAAAATTGAAAATAATGGAAAGTTTAAACTGGAATCCAAATAAATAACCCTAAGCATTTGGAAATGTTTTTATTTCTCTTTTCTAAGAGAAAAGACAAAGAGAAATAAAAACAAAACAAAGAAAAATCTAGTTTGATATTTCAATTAAAGCTGTTGCATTAACTAGATATCAATAACTGACATTGATGTTAAAAACGGTCATTGTTGGGCCTCCCCGGTGGCGCAGCGGTTGAGCACTGGGTTGCGAAGCTACCCGCAGCCTCTGCAGCGCCGGTTCAATCCCCGGCTGCTCACCGGCCTAGGTGAGGGTCCCACATGGCGCGCAGACCTCTCCTGCTGCCCGCTGCTCCCCTCAGCAGTGTACTTCGGTCATTCTGCCTGCTCTGCTCCCTGCTCTGGCTCTGGTGAATTCTCTCACCCTCCCGCGCTTCTGACTGTACCCAGTGCTTGTATAAATAAATAAATCTTAAAAAAAACAAAACAAAAAAACTGTCATTGTTTCAGACTCACAAAATTATAGGCTTTTCCAGAGAAATTTACACACTAATACCAATGTTGTGTGTAGATGCAATTTAACATTATGGTGTAGTATATCCTAGAAACTCATTGTAACATTTACCCATTTCAGTAAATTGACATTATCATTTCAGTTTTATTTTGCTGTAACAATCAGTGTTCGGCCTGTATTTATAAAATTATTAGACTTTTTCTGATTTCTATCATGCATATTAGCACCCATTGCCACTTACCATTTTGTTTACTAAACTTAGCAGACTTGCAAAATCCTGAAAAAAAAAAAAAAAAAAAGAAAGTTCCACGAAGTGGAAAGTGGTAAGAGATGCTAAAAAAGGAAAGACCCTAGTTGAACTTAAAATAATATACAGACTATGACTGTGTCTGACAACCAGGTTATCCATAAATGTAGAACACTACTACTCTTAATATTTGTGGCACGAATGTGAATACTTTGGAAGGAATGGATGTCCCATGAATAAACCTGAATAGTGACCATGGGGATGAGGGGTGAGTAGAAGTGAGATATGAGAAATTAAGAACGTAGTATGTGGGCCTCCCTGGTGGCGCAGGCGGTTGAGCGCCACACTGTGAAGCTGTCTGCAGCCTCTGCAGCATGGGTTCGATCCCTGCCAGCCATCGAGAATCCCACATGGCGCAGCAGACCTCTCCTGTCTCGCCTGCTCTCTGCCTGTTCTGTTCCCCACTCTGTCTTTGGTGAATCCTCTCACTCTCCTGTGGATCTGGCCTGTACCCCAACTCTTGTATAAACAAATCTTTTTTTTTTTTTTTTTAAAGAATGTAGTATGCTGCCTATTTTCCAAGATATTTCCATGGACGAAGTCTGAACTGTAGGATGAGAAGGAATTATTGAGATGGAGGTAGGTACAGGCAGAGGTGGAAAGAGAAGTTGGGTTGGGGAGGGAAAAAGGGAGAGAGAGATAGAGACATCTTCATGAAAAAGTTCATGAAAACTGATTGCATTTGTTAAGCACCAAGAGTATTATATTCCATAAAATGTTTTAAAACCCTCACAAACCATCAAGAAATTGACCTATAACTCAGGAGAAATTATCAGTTTTAGGAAAAAAAAGGTCAATCAGAAGAAAACCATTTGTCAATAAGACTTGGAAAGATTTTCACCTCACATTTCTTTCCTTTTTTTTTTTTTTTTTTTTTTTTTAAAGATTTATTTATTTATTTATTTATACAAGCACTGGGTAAAGTCAGAAGCACTGGAGGGTGAGAGAATTCACCAGAAGAGCAGGGAACAGAACAGGCAGACTGACAAAATACACTGCTGAGGGGAGCAGCAGGCGTGGCAGGGTCTCGCGCCATGTGGGACCCTCGCTGGTGGCCGGGGACCAAATCGGTGCTGCAGAGGCTGCGGTCAGCTTCGCAGCCCAGCGCTCAACTGCTGCGCCACCAAGGGAGGCCTTCACCTCACATTTCAATTAGGAAAATGTAAAATAATAAATTTTAACAGTGAGATACCATTCCATACCTACAGGATGTAAAAAATTAAACCGTCAAAATGTTGATGTAGGTAGGTGGGAGAATTCTTAAAGTCTCATATGAATTGGCTTAGGATTCACATGTCCTTTGACTCAGCCCTTTCACTCCTAGTTATTCATCTTAAGGAAACTCATGCAAATGTGCACAAATCAACTCTTAATATGAGTATCTGTTTTTGGTAGTGTTACTTATGGTGAAACTGAAAATAATTTTCCCTTGGCAGTGGATTGAACAAACAAAATATGCTTTTTTCGAATTGTGAAATACTCTACCACAGTTACAATTAATAATCTAGAAATTGATGTTCCCATATGGATTAACATAATTTTAAGTGAAGAACATCATGTAGCAAATCATATATAGAACATGAAGACAAATATATAAATATTTTAAAATCAAAAGACAGTAAGATACAAATTTAATTGTGCATATACATGGTGCAGTAAGTACAAAAACATGCATGGAAACAGGACATAATCAGCTTCTGGATAGGGTTTACCTTTTGGGATGAGCATAAACCAGGAAATAAAAGGGAATGTGCTGGGAGGTGGGGTGTTTTGTGGTTTTTCTTTTCTTTTTTTTTTTTTTTTTTAAATTAATTAATTAGTTTGCTTATTTATTTATTTATACAAGCACCGGGTACAGTCAGAAGCGCGCGAAGGTGAGAGAATTCACCAGAGCCAGAGCGGGGAGCAGAGCAGGCAGAAGGACCGAAGTACACTGCTGAGGGGAGCAGCGGGTGGCAGGAGAGGTCTGCGCACCATGTGGGACCCTCCTCCGGTGGCCGGGAGCAGCCGGGGATTGAACCAGTGCTGCAGAGGCTGTGGGCAGCTTCGCAACCCAGCGCTCAACCGCTGCGCCACCGGGGAGGCCCGGTTTTTCTTTTCTTTAATTAAAAAATAGTTGAGGAACTCCAGTGATGTGATCTTGGCATCAAGGTAGGGTTTTAATCTCCAAAAAATTCCTCCTGAAAAATAAACAAGCCAATTAGGATAACAAATGAGAAATCCACTGATAACATCTTAAATAAAGCTAGAAGGTGAGGAATTTCCATAAACTACAGGTTATGAACATGGGTATTAAGTCAACTATAGTAGTAGAAAAGGAACAAGAGAAAAGTTGAATGGAAGCAATAGAGAAAAACGAATGAGGACAATCTACGTATCCCCCTCAACAAATAGCTGCCTTTGAGGGGAAAGTCCCCTCTGCACCTGGGGTGGAAACATGGAAAGATATTGGTGAGAATGACCAGTGAAATGAGATAAGGTCCCAAAGTTTCCAATTTACAAATAAATTAAAAAAGAGCTCCAGAGACATGAAAAAAAAATCAAGGTTCTCAGCTAATTTCAGTTTATAATCAGATGATCATATAAGAAAGCCAATAATTAACTACCATTTACAAGTTAAATGAAAGAATAAGAAAGCAAAGAGAAATCCAGAATGTGAGAATACTATAGATGACTGTATATCTTAGAATAGTCTCTTTAATTTTGTATCTACATCAAAATTCTCATAGCTTTTTCAGAGAAAAAGAAATTTGAGGGCCTCCCTGGTGGCACAAAGGGTTAAGCACAGCACTATGAAGCAATCCACAGCCTCCACAGCCTCCCAGCCAGCCAGGGAGATACCCACATGGCACAGCAGACCTCTCCTGTTGCGCCCACTGCTCCCCTCAGCAGTGTGTTTCAGTCAGTCTGCCTGTTCTGTTCCCCACTTTGTCTCTGGTGAATCCTCTCACACACACAACCCCACTACCCCTACACCTCTGGCCTGTACCCCAGCTCCTCTATGCATACATAAATAAATCTTAAAAAAAATAAGTCTTTAAAAGAAAGAAATTTGAAACAAATAAGACAAATTCTTTAAGTTTTCTTTCTGTTTATTCAGAGATGTGAGAAATTAAATGTTTCTGTGTTTGGCATATTTCATAATGGAGAAAAAGAAATAGTTACACAAAACAGGCAGCATTGGACCTTAACATTACCCAATTTGAATCTCTGTGTTCTGGTTCCAAGTTATTGTAGGGAAGGAACCCATATTAGTCCCATCAATTTTCATTTGTGGAAAAGGTCACATTCAAATAGGCCTGCATGACAAATAAGAGGTCATTCTTGGTTTTATAGAAACTCTAAAAATGTTTGCTGCATGTCAGAAGGGCAGGAAGGATTTTCACTGTAGATTTAAAAAATTAGACACAGCTGGAGAAAAAGGTCTGGCTAGATTTGGCTTTCATAGTTTCATGCCACTAATAGATCCTGAGACTCCTTTTTCACTTCCTTGTTTTTTTTTTTTTTTTTTTCACTTTCCCAAAAGAAAGAAATGAGTGCAGCAGCAGGTATCAGCAGATATGTCCTGATAGCTGAAGATCACAAATAAGATAAGTAACTTTTTTCTAATAAATGCTAAAATATTGTCAGATATATTCATGACCCAGCCAAGATGACTCAGGAGTTTTTATACAATGCTGTTACTGAAGACAAAGAACAGCAAAACTTTGATAATAACATCAACATCAAAACAGAACCTGCATTCCAAATCAAATAGGTCAGAAAGAATTATCAAAAACACCCAAGAAATTACTGAGGAAATCTGTTCTATTATTTTATACCAGCTCTTTGTTTTTGTGTTTTTATGCTTTCTGTTGGTAGAGTAAGTTTCTAAATATGACCTGTAAGATTTTTTTAAAAGCTCATTCTTGAATGTTTATTTTGAAATAATTATAGATTTAAAAGAAGTTGTAATAATGGAAAGTTCCAGGATATTCTTCAGCCACTTCTCCCAAAGGTTAGGTTATATCTTGCATTGACTATTATAGAAAGTAATTCAGCATCAGGAAATTTTTATCAGTACAATGTTGTATATATCACTGCCACTTAATCATATGGGTAGATTCCTGTAACTACCATTTCAATCACGATGCAGAATTCTTCCATCACCACAAAGATCTGCTGGTGTGGGAATTAAAGTAGAGAAGCTTACCTCTTTTTAAGACCCTTTACTTTCCTTAATTTACAAGTATTTTAAATATTTCCTCTGCACATATTGAGATTCACATTAGTGAACATTGTGTTTTTGCTTTGACTGTTGAAACATAGAGCACTTAAGAGGAGAAGTCTTGCAAGTAAGTGTGCATTTGGTTCTTTTTTCCTTCTTGCTATTGTAAGATTCCTGCTGGTGACAAATTCTTTCAGTTTTCATTCATTTGAAAATGTCTTTTTTTTTTTTTTTTCTATGAGGGCTGGGTTCAAATCCTGACTCCTCCATTTAGTTCCCCCTATTTAGGTATGGTCAGATGACTAATTTCCCTGGGTCAGAAAACTCTAAAATATGGGGTATTCATATGTAGACTTCATATGTTTGTTAAAATGAGGAGCATATATTTACAGAGCCCTTAGAATAGTGCTTGGTGTATGGCAAGAACTATGTGTTTTAAACAAAGTAAAATAAGTAACATATATTTGGACAAAAGGAAGGACTAAGGAAAACCTATTGTGAAAATTTAAAAAACTGATTTGTAGGCATTTATATATCATAAATTTTATTTTTATATTCCCCATACAATTGTGACCCCCTTATTTTGATCCAATTCCTCCACTCCCCGCCCCCACCTCCCATAGAGTGTCTCTGGTTCATAGTTGTTTGTTGATTTTAATTTTTAATTTCTTATGGTTATTCTTTTTCCTGGTCCCTTATTTAAGTTTTCTAGATTCCTGCTATGAGTGAGACCATCCGGTATTTTTTCTTTCTGGCTTATTTCGCTGAGCATGATCCCTTCCAGCTCCATCCATGTTGCTGCAAATTGCATGTGTTTATCTTTTTTGACTGCTGAGTAATATTCCATGGTGTATATGTACCACATCTTCTTGATCCAGTCATCTATTTTTGGGCATTTGGGTTGTTTCCAAAGCTTAGCTATTGTAAACAGTGCTGCTACAAACATAGGGGTGCAGGTGCTCTTTGGAGTTGATGTTTCTGTGTCCTTTGGGTAAATACCTAGGAGTGGAATTGCTGGATCATATGGAAGCTCTATGTTTAGTAGGTCCAGAAATCTCCACACAGCTCTCCATAGTGGTTGGACCAGTTTGCACTCCCACCAACAGTGCAGGAGAGTTCTTTTTTCTCCACACCCTCACCAACATTTGTTGTTGCTAGTTTTTTTAATATGTGCCATTCTCACTGGTGTAAGATGGTATCTCATGGTAGTTTTGATTTGCATTTCCCTGATTACAAGTGGTGTTGAACATTTTTTCATATGCCTGTTGGCCATTTGCATTTCCGCTTCAGAGAAGTTTCTTTTTAGCTCTTCTGCCCATTTTTTGACTGGATTATTTTCTTTGTTTTTGTTGAGTCTCATCAGCTCTTTGCAGATTTTTGTGATCAGTCCTTTATCATTAGTGTTGTGTGCCAAAATGTTCTCCCAGTTGGTGGGGTTTCTCTTTGTTTTTGTTATTGTCTCTTTTGCTGTGCAGAAGCTCTTTAATTTGATGTAGTCTTTGCCTTCACTATCACTGCTTTGGGTGATGTGTCTGTAAAGATGTCTTTGATGTGCATATCATGTAGTGTTTTGCCTATATTTCCTTCTATGTATTTTATGGTTTCAGGTCTTATGTCTAGTTCTTTAATCCATTTTGAGTTGGTTTTTGTGTATGGTGTTAGGTAGTAGTCAAGCTTCATTCTTTTGCATGTAGCGACCCAGTTTTCCCAGCACCACTTATTGAACAAACTTTCTTTGCTCCAATGCATAGTCTTTGCTCCTTTGTCAAAGATTAGTTGACCATAAATCTGTGGGTTTATTTCTGGATTTTCTATTCGATTCCATTGGTCTGAGTGTCTGTGCTTGGTCCAATACCATGCAGTTTTGATGATTATGGCTTTGTAGTATAGTTTGAAGTCTGGGAGTGTGATGCCTCCATTCCCTTCTTTTTTTTTCAGGAGAGCTTTGGCTATTTGGGGTTTTGGGTGATTCCATATGAATTTCATCAATAATTGTTCTATTTCTTTGAAGAATGACATTGAAAATTTTGACTGCAATAGCATTGAATCTGTATATTGCTTTTGGTAGGATGGCCATTTTAATAATGTTTATTCTTCCAATCCATGAGCAGGGGATGTCTTTCCATTTCTTTGTGTCTTCTTCTATTTCTTTTAACAGTGTTTTATAGTTTTCTTTGTATAGGTCCTTTACCTCTTTTGTTAGATTTATTCCCAAATATTTGATTTTTTTTGTTTTCTTCTTCTTCAGATTTATTGTTTGTGTATAGGAAGGCTACTGACTTTTGCGTGTTGATTTTGTATCCTGCCACTTTACTGAACTGATTGATTAGTTGAATTAGTTTTTCTGTGGAGTTTTTGGGGTTCTCTACGTATATTATCACATCATCTGCAAATAGTGATAGTTTGACTTCTTCTTTTCCTATTTGGATTCCTTGGATGTCTTTCTCTTGTCTTATTGCTCTGGCTAGGACTTCCAGTATTATATTGAAAAGCAGTGGTGAGAGTGGACATCCTTGTCTTGTTCCAGATCTTAATGGAATTGCTTTCAGCTTTTCACCATTGAGAATGATACTGGCTGTTGGCTTGTCATAGATGGCCTTTATGATGTTGAGGTACGTTCCTTGTATCCCAAGAATTTCAAGGGCTTTTATCATGAATGGGTGTTGCACTTTGTCGAAAGCTTTCTCAGCATCTATTGATATTATCATATGGTTTTTATATTTCTTTTTGTTGATGTGTTGGATAACGGTGATTGATTTTCGGATGTTAAACCATCCTTGTGTCCCTGGAATGAATCCTACTTGGTCGTGGTGAATTATCTTATGGATACATTGTTGGATTCTGATAGCTAAAATTTTATTGAGGATTTTTGCATCAGTGTTCATTAGGGAGATTGGCCTATAGTTTTCCTTTTTTGTGTTGTCCTTGTTTGGTTTTGGTATTAGTGTAATGTTGGCTTCATAGAACGTGTTTGGTATTGTCCCTTCCTTCTCAATTTTTTGGAAGAGTTTGTGAAGGACAGGCACTAATTCGTCTCTGAATGTTTGGTAGAATTCATTTGTAAATCCATCAGGTCCTGGGCTTTTGTTTTTGGGGAAGTTTTTGATTACCATTTCAATTTCGCTGCTTGTAATTGGTCTGTTTAGGTGTTTAGAAGAAATAGTTTAGAAGAAATAGCTGTTTAGAAGAAATAGTTCTTCTTTATCTAGCTTTGGGTGATTGTAGAGTTGTAGGAATTTGTCCATCTCCTCTAGATTGTTGAACTTGTTTCCATATAACTCTTCATAGTAGTTACTGATTATTTTTTTGATTTCTGCTGTGTCCCTTGTGATTTCTCCTCTTTCATTTATGATCCTGTTTATTTGTGCTTTCTCCCTTTTTTCCTTTGTGAGTCTGGCTAGGGGTTTGTCTATTTTATTGATTTTTTTCGAAGAACCAGCTCTTGGTTTCATTGATCTTTTGGATTGGCTTTGTAGTTTCCATTTCATTTATTTCTGCTTTGGTTTTTATTATTTCTTTTCTTCTACTGGTTTTTGGGTTTTTTGTTGTTGTTGTTCTTTTTCTAGATCTTTGAGCTTCGAGATTAGGTTGTTTCTTTGAGTTCTTTCTTGTTTCTTGAGGTGAGCCTCTATTGCTATATATTTTCCTCTTATTACTGCTTTTGCTGCATCCCATACATTTAGGAAATTGGTGTCCTCCTAGTCATTCAATTCAAAGAATTTTTTAATTTCTTCTTTGATCTCCTTGTTAGTCCAGTGTTCTTCCAGAAGTGTGGTTTTCAATCTCCATGAGGCAGGAGAGTTCCTTGCCTTCTTTTTATGGTTTATTTCTAGTATCATGCCTTCATGGTCAGAAAAGATGGTTTGTATGATTTCAATCTTGGTGTATCTGTTGATGTTTGTCTTGTGTCCCAGTATGTGATCAATCCTGGAGAATGATCCGTGTGCGCTTGAGAAAAATGTGTACTCAGATATTTTTGGGTTTAGTGTTCTATAGATGTCTGTTAAGCCCAAGCGCTCTAGATCCTTATTTAGAGCTTTAGTGTCTTTTCTTATTTTCTGTCTTGTTGATCTATCCATTGTTGATAGTGGTGTATTGAAGTCTCCCACTACGTATGTGTTTTCTCTGATGTCTGTTTTCAGCGATGACAATAGTTGTTTGATATATTTTGGTGCCCCTTCATTTGGTGAATATATGTTAATGAGTGTTATTTCTTCTTGAAGTATTGTCCCCTTGATCATAATGTAGTGACCGTTGGGGTCTCTTTTTATCTTTTTGAGTTTGAAATCTGTTTTATCTGATATAAGTATAGCTGTTCCTGCTTTCTTTTTTGGTCCATTTGCTTGTAGGATTGTTTTGCATCCTTTAACTTTGAGTCTATTTTTATCTTTTGTAGCTAAATGTGTTTTCTGGAGACAGCCTGTGACTCTGTGTCTTTTTATTGAAGTGTTTAGTCCATTTACATTTTGAGTTAATACTGTTATATTAGCATCTGTATTTGCCATTATATTTGTCTTTCTTTTGATTTTTTTAATTTATTCTTTTAATAACTTTTTTTTTTTTTGGCCTTCTTTCGTTGTTATTCGTCCCTCTGAGATTCTGGCTTTAGGAC